TAGTAGAATAGTTCAATGAGACGAATTAAGAATAATTTGCGTTCTGTTAAGACAAATGCTCGTTTGGATAGCCTCATGATGCTTGTAATACATCGTGATAGGTGGAGCAACCTCAACCTTGATAGATTTCATGCAAAATTTCAAAAGTGTAGAATTTCACTTTGAAGACCGAGGATTTTAAAATGAATTAGATAGTTACATTGCATACTTTTTTTTCTTGTTTTATTCAAAATGTTTTTCGACATTAGATTTGCTGATTTTGACATTAGAAAACATAGCCTACATGAAGTCATTTTATAGTAGCTCGATGTATCTAATAAGTAATGAAAATTCGCCATAATTCGTCAAATATCTGTGGCTTCTAGGGGGTGAAGCCATCTGGACCCTTGCCGGGGGCCTTAGGCGGCCCCCTGGCCCCCAGCCATGTGAGGCTTGATTCGCTCCAGTGCCTTTAGCCCCTCTGTCGGGCAGATCCTGGCGCCATCACTGATATGCAGAACCGTACGGTAACTACTGCATAATACATTTGTTATAATATTAAAATTAGTTCAAGACCTGAGTTTCGGCAAAACCTGCGCGGAAATAGGCCCTTATTTTCCAAAATGCGCAGACGGATATAAGCCTATTCCAGTGCAGGCCTTACTTAGTCTGGGATATGTAATAAAAATACATTCATACGCACCATAATATATATGTACACAATTAAATCGTTATTCCATGATTCTCGCACTTATATGTTATATATTATTTTTTATCGTTTATGTCAGAGCATTATTCTTTCGTAGCATGTAGACCACCTACAAATGCCTACGTCAGTCAACATAGCTTATATAAAGTTCTAAGGCTCCTCAAGTGATTTTAGGTCTGAATTCACATTTTCAGTTGTCAATGTTCGTGCTCAGCGTCACCCAAGCTAAAGTCCCCTTCAAAATAGGCTATGAGAACCATCATTGTCCATCCAATACACAGACCAAGGTTCTGTAGTAGAAACGTCTGGAGAGGTTTTGCTGATTTCGTGTGATCAAGTTCGGGCATCTGTCAAAATATAAGGATCCAATAGTACGTGTATATATATATACATACATATATATATATATATATATATATATATATAGGCCTATATATAGGCTATATATAGGCTATATATATATAGGCCTATATATAGGCTATATATATATATATATATAAATCATCAAAGAAAGGTAAATACAGTGTTTCGAATAATGAAAGACATGATAATACATCGTGTTGCATAGTTCTCAACGAATATTGTCCTATAAATAAATTGTGTAATAAAACATAACAAAATGTGTCTGACGGGATTCGAACTGCTGTCAAGGCGAGCGTCATAACCATTAGACCACAGATGCTTCATAGTTTAACGGATTTAAATAAGGTCAGATACACTCTATTACACAATAGGTACGGCTGGAAACAAATAATAGCATGTAATATAAATCAAGATAGCCGTTAAGAATGTTATATGTAAATATCAAATCATCAAATGATTGATCATTTGATGATTTGATCCAATTGGGAGTGGATTCAATTCTTACCAAATCTACGAGGGAAACGTAGATGAACATTCCTGCTGTGACAGCAAACACCCATTGATGGATAGCAGTGCCTTCCCCGGCAGCTATTCCAATATACAACCCAATAAACGCCATACACGCAGTGCCGAAGTTGCACAACAGCGCCTTTTTTACACTAAGACCATTATTAACGAGGACAGCAAAGTCACCTAAAATTAAAGAAACAAACTTTTAATCACGATGTAGTTAGTTTTCATAATTCGGCCTAACTTATGAGAATGATTATTATATCTTATCAACAATCAAAAAAACATTCATCATCATCGTCGTCGTTATCATCGTCATCATTATCAAACATCAACATCATCATCATCATCATCATCATCATCCAATACCTCCTTATCATTATCTGCTCATCGTCGTCTTTATATTCTCATCATCGTCGTCATGATTTGCCCATCATCATTTTGTTATAAGAAAACATTTGGCAAGTTCTCACCTAATTCGTGGGGGAGTTCGTGGAACATAACTGCAATACAAGTGGACACGCCCACTAATATATCGGCGGTGAAGGCCACGCCTATTGCAAGTCCATCCATCAGATTATGAATACCATCTCCAATCAGAATCATCGCATTTAACGAATTAACACCACCTACAATGTAAACACACGTCAGTCAGACTTCGAATGGAGTTTACGACAACTTTAAAAAACACCTGCGTAGGCAAATCACCCATAGGGTTAGCCTAAGTTTATTTTACTCTGTGGTAGCATCCAACTTACAGAGACTGTGTAGAAATGGCCGAGGAAGAATATAAGCAGTCATCTGTCTATTTAATGTAACATGTTTTAAAATTCAGGTATAGGTCTACAGTCGTATTTCCTTTTTAATATGTAGGCCCTACTGTAGTCTATTTTTGAATTAAAGAATTACAAGTTAGCATTACATAATACAATCTAAATTGTATGGTATTTTCTCCTTCATAATAATTATGTAGAGTATGCGCTCTGTGACCGATGTTTTTTAAGAGGCATTAGGCCGACATTTGATGCTGAAAACTAGCTTAACAAACAATCACCTGATGAAGCCCCATTGACTGGGGCGAAAGCTTGTGAAATAAAATTCATCGTTAGTCAAATAAAGCGCTACCTACTCATTTGTTTCATTTATATACACTGACTAATACAGCTATACTATTTTTTGATTTAGCTTAACAATGTAAATCTTTTTTGAAAGACATACTTAATCACGATTATATGTATTTTAAAAGCAATTAATGTTTGCCACAATAAGAATATATTTCACTTTCAGTATCTTTATTACATATGTGTTTCGTTAACTACAAACTTTATCATTAAAATATTTTATTGTATTTTTGTTTACCATTTTTATTATCAATAAGTGTACTATTCGATTGACGTCTGTCTTCCTCCATATTAATGCTCTCCTGTAAAAAAAATAAAAACATTATCCATTCATTTATATTAATTATCAAATATATAATATATGACGGGTAAAATCGAAATGAATGGTAACAAAAGTTCGATGAATATACTTTTCAATAGAAAGTAAAGACAAAAATGCAACCCCAGGGTATTCTGCACGTTTTTTAATGAACAAGATTAGGCCATAAATAGAATAAACAGCGAGAAAAACGAACACTGGGTGCTTTCTGTATTCCTATTATTTGCGGTGTGCTTTAAACAAGAAAAAAAAAAACGCGTTATGATGTACGTAGAGGTTTTAGAGACTCGCATTTAAAATTTAACCCTCTAAACAGCACTATAAAAAAACTCCAAAGATTGGTATTCTTATTAGCTCAGCTAAATTTGACATAGCAGCTCGGGGGAAGTAAAAACTTTATCATAGACGTACTGCATGATTTGACCAAAGGTAGAAGCCTATTGTTAAATCATAGAGGTAAACACAACTAAATTTAGATTATTCTGTAATAAGTCTATTGGGTTTTATCGTCAATGACAAACTTTTATATGGTAATAAAATGTTAGTGAAAGAACTGTGCTAATATTATAAAACGATTGTCCTACAAATAATGGAGGTAATGACTCTCTGTGTCACCAAGCACTGTGTTTTCTTCATGAATTAGCATTACACCCACATTTGTATCGCAAAGTTCCGTCAATTTTGTTCTGTTCACTGTGATTCGTTAATAGCATTCTTTACTTTACAGGAGTAAAAGAGTTGGTATACAAAAGACGGTGCTCATAAAAATGCATTTTAATAGCCCTCGCACGTATTGTGCACATGTGAAAAACATTTTGTATTTATCAAGAAATGTCTAGAATTCAAACGTTAGGCGCATTGATAAAGCGACCCACCAAAGTTGACTAACGACTGTTAAGATGACATTGTCCCACAGAAATTTCCCGCTCGACCCAGTTTTGGCTCATGACTAGTGGCGGCGCCAGTGGGGAGAAGTCAAGCACCCCCCTCCCCGCCGGACAGAGCTCGTCGGGCAGTCAGACCATAAAACATATACAAATAGGCCCACACCAAGCCAACACATGTCTGTCACAGTCTGAGAGTGCTATTTTCGGCCATCCAGAGGTTGATATTCTTTTAAAAAAATCTCATTTGGGAGAGGTACCCCCTCTCAACCCCTTCCTCCAGCTCGAGCCTACGAGCTCAAGTCCCCCCTGTCGGACAACTTAGCCCCCCCAGAAAATATATCCTAGAGCCGCCACTGGTCATAACCCAACCCGACCGCTAGTGTTTCAAATAGACTTATCTTAATGGAAAGAGTTTCACCCAGATATAATGGCGATTGTTTCCAACTAGGCGGAGAATATCTTTGGCCCGTGAGATCAACTAAAAAATTTGGCTCTTCAAACAAAATGAATTAAGAATTAGTCCTATTTGTATCGTTCCTGATGATGACATAATTAATGTCGCATATTGAATCCCAACACGATGGCGTGCATTTCGATTCTTGGAGTATGTAGGCCTATTATACTATCTTTTATGAGCTTACCGTTTTGTTTTCCACATCGTTGACTTCCGTTAACGTATTGTCTTTGAAACCTTCGTTATAACAATCTATTTTCTCCTGCAGTGAAAATTATAGAAATTATTTAAAATATGATTAAAATATAATGTTATGAACATGTTGCTGTAATTGGTTTGGTTTGAAGGGTTGCAAATATGCATTTAATGCCAATAGCTCACTAATAGCATGATTTGATGCCTTCCTACTACAGTAATCCTGATGATGATCCAATTAAAAGTCGAATTATTGAATCCCAAAGACGTGTCTTACTTTATTGTTCATACTAAGTCGAAGTTGTTTATTATACCGGTATACTAGTATAATTGTTATTTTAAAGTAAACTTAAAATATAAAGTGCAAAATATGAGTAGTGGTGAAGCCGAACCAGTGGCTTAAGTACAGTTTCGACACTCTAACTGAGCTACATTTCCCCAGCTGGCAAATTGTTCCCAGCATGTACTTACTCAAAGGTTCTGGACGCAGCAAATATTAACCCTACAAACAATTATAACAGCAGCGAGGGAGATCAGTGCAGATGATATGGTTTTTAAAAATGCTTCGTTGGCAGAGCGTCATAATCAAACGGAGTCAGAAACTAGTAGCTGGTTGGATTCCGAATAGAAACACATTTCGTTACTTTAATGATATTATTGAATTCATAATAGGCCCGATTTTCTGTTGTTGCCAAACAAATAGGCCCATCAAATCGATGTTTGCGATCACAACGTACTCGATAATGTGGTAAATGGCGGGTTTTTCTCCCTTTTGTGGACAGGTAATCATAATAAAGCGCTATCATCAATCACAAGTAGTCGTTGGTTCTTTTGATCAGACTAGTGGAAAACATCAACACTTCCAATAGACAAAATATACCACCTATCTGGCTTATCTTGTACGGACCTCTCTCTCTTTACCGACTGATTTACAATTACTGTACTCTACCTGCTGATCAATCAGTAGGGGCGGATTTAGGGGGGGCGGACCGCCACCCCCTCTTTTGGGAGGTAAAAAAAAATTTTAAGAAAAAAAGAACAAAAATGGTAGCTCAGAACTCCTCAAAAGTTATTTTCGGGCACAAAAGAACACAAAAATTTCGCGGGGGCATGCCCCTCGGACTTCCTAGGGCAGTGTTGTATCGATCGGCCCAACTTTCGCACCCCTCCCCTTTTTGGACATCTCTGGATCCGCCCCTGATCAGTATCAAGATATGTACAAACCATTACAATGGATGATAATGTGTACCAGATTAAAGTAAAAGGTCAAGGCAAAGGAAAATATGGCGAGCCGAGTTGTCATTTAATCATAAATAGAGATATCTTAGTTTTAAATGGAGATATCTTACTTTTTAATAGAGATCTTAGTTTTTAATAGAGATATCTTAGTTTTAAATAGAGATATCTCTGTTAATAGAGATATCTATATTAATAGAGATATCTCTATTGAAAACTAAGATATCTCTATTAAAAACTAATATATCTCTATTTAAAACTAAGATATCTCTATTTAAAACTAAGATATCTCTATTTAAAACTAAGATATCTCTATTAAAAATGAAAATAGAGATATCTTAGTTTTAAAAAGAGATATCTTAGATTTAAACAGAGATATCATAATTTTAAATAGATATATCTTAATTTTTAAATAGAGATATCTCTATTTAAAACTAAGATATCTCTGTTTAAAACTAAAATATCTCTATTTTCATTGTTAATAGGGATATCTTAGTTTTAAATAGAGATATCTTAGTTTTAAATAGAGATATCTTAGTTTTAAACAGATATATCTCTATTAATAGAGATATCTCTATTAACAAAGATATCTTAGTTTTGTTTCCGGTGCAGAACAATATGGAAAGAGTGTTCATACTATCGGCAACTGAGGAAAGTTAGCAAGAAAACGGTTTCAGGCTCCCCAAAATAGGGGATTACTCAACCGTATAGACAAATGACCTACTCCTACTAATGAAGATTTATATTTATTTATTTGAACATACACCTTTAAATCGGTGGCACTCAATATCAATTGGTGCGTTCGTACAAACAAAAACAAAAAAAGGGGAAAATTTAACAAACAAAATAAACTTAACAATCGACTGTAAATAATATTACAAAATTAAAGAAAGGTAGAAAGATATAATATGAAATTAGATGAGATCACATTTCACATCGCATTTCATACTCAGAAATATTTACAGGTCAACTGTAAAGTAAATGCTTAAAATAACTAACCTACAAAATATAAAATCTAAAGATGAAAAAGTTTTACAACAAAAAGATAATACCAAGGTAGACCTACTAAACTTAAGGAATACAGACTACTATGTAGAGTCCACTTGCGGTTAAAAAAAAAAAAAAAAATTAACATTACACAATTTAATAAGCAACGATACATTTACAGTAAACTATTGTTGTGAATTTTTTAGTTGTGAGCGTTTCTGCCAAGCATTCATGAAATTAGATGCGATCACATTTCACATCGCATTTCATACTCAGAAATATTTACAGGTCAACTGTAAAGTACATGCTTAAAATAACTAACCTATAAAATATAAAATCTAAAGATGAAAAAGTCTTACAACAAAAAGATAATACCAAGGTAGACCTACTAAACTTAAGGAATACAGACTACGATGTAGAGTCCACTTGTGGCAAAAAAACAAAAAAAAAAAAACAAAAAAAAAAAAAAACAATTAACATTACACAATTTGATTAGCAACGATACATTTACAGTAAACTATTGTGGTGAATTTTTTAGTTGTGAGCGTTTCTCCCAAGCATTCATGATATATTTTTTACAGAAATTATCATAAATAGAGGTAGATTCATCACAAATAAAAACTGAATCTCCTCCTAATACATAGTGAAGTTTAATAGCCCAGAGTAGCCAGTCTCTGGCCTTGATGACTTTGTACACTTTCTTTTCTTGATTGTGTTTCAGTTCAGTAAGCCTATGTTTGTTTCAGTATACCTCCATGGTTTCATGATCCCTGTATTTTGAGGAACAGCTTTGTGTTTTTAATAATTATTTGGTTATGATATATCATATAAAGGTTATATAAAGTAAAGTGAATACTTTATATATAAAAAGATAACTAATTCTTTTATCAAGTTTCTTTTTAAAGTTACTGTTATTTGTTTCGTTATAAGATGCTTTAAAATATGTTACAGAATAGTAAATATTCATTAGAGTACAAGTATAGCCTCTATAGAAAAAAATTATATAATGGTTAATCCAATTAAAAGTGTTAATAATATTATTCCTATTAGCACACTGACCAGCAAAAGAATAACGTGATTCATAACATTATCACATGAATGTGGTGTAATATAATTAATTAAAAAAATAAAATATTTTATTTAGATATATATATATATATATATATATATATATATATATATATATAGT